GGGGGGGAGAGAAAGAGAGATGGAAAGAGAAAGGGGAGAGACAGACAGAAAGAGAGAGAGAGAGAAAGAGGGTCTTTATTTTTATAATAAAAATAATTGATTCCCGTCATTTTCTCTCTGCGTCCATTCCCAGGCTGACCCGGTGCAATACAGTCATTATTGTACACAATTTATGACCAGTCCCATCTTCCAAGTCCCACCATCTCTCACCTCTTGTTTCCCATGTACCTTGTCCAATTTTCTATATATCCCATATCCCAACTTTAATTCTATAATAAGGGCGCTTCGTTTTCCTTCATCATCTCATGGGAAGGAACACTTGAAGCTGGCCAAAATATTAAATAATATACGTCACTGTCGTCAATGACTAAAACCAGCAGACGCTCCCCCTAAACGAAGTTTAAAGCTTTAGTGCCGTGAACGTAGTGCCGTGAGCGTAGCCTGCAGACTATGTTCATGGCGCCGTGAACGTAGCCACTGCGATTCTTTTATTTTTCTACTCTCTTAAACAAATAATAGTTTTTCCAAATTAAAAGCTGTAACCTGCTGTAGATATCTAGATCTAGGCTAGGCCTTTTATTAAAGCCAGCTCTATTCGGACTCCAGTCCGAATATAATTTTTATCTATTCGGACTCAAGTCCGAATATGGATTTTATCTTTTCAGACTCGGGTCCGAAAAAAAGGTTTTACTTGTTCAGACCCACTTCTAAGTGAGTTATGTGAGTGTAAGGAGGTTACATAATAAATATAAATGTCGTCGCGGGATTTTACGTAAAACCAGAATTAGAAACTAGAATTGCATATTATTAGGACTGTGTCTGTGTCAAAAGTCAAAGGACTGCACTCTCATCAGATCTAGATCTACCCAATGGCAGTGTCTAAGTACACGGTCACTGACAACTCAAGGTCTTTCCACCACCACTATAGCATCATCATTACTTCCACCACCACTACAGCATCATCATTACTTCCACCACCACTACAGCATCATCATTACTTCCACCACCACTATAGCATCATCATTACTTCCACCACCACAATAGCATCATCATTACTTCCCCCACCACTACAGCATCATCATTACTTCCACCACCACTATAGCATCATCATTATTTCCACCACCACTACAGCATCATCATTACTTCCACCACCATTTGTCTTTCCACACGTTTAATTTCATTTTGTTGCGTATGTTATAGAATAGTTTTTCTGCAATTTTTTTTTTATCACATCGCACAAAACTGACAGCCGTGGCCTCCTCCCAACACCTCTTCCCCCAGCAAGCCGAAAGTGCGATCGAGATAACTACACGCAGTCTCATTGGTCGACATTTAAATATAATTAACTTTGCCCCCAGCAAGCTCAGCTCAACTTAGTCGTTCTGCTCATACTAATGATGCATGGAGGGCCAGTTTAGATAGATCTAGATCTAGATCTAGTAACTAGTAACTGGATATTAAAGTGTAAGCTCACGTCTCGACTGTTATATATCATCATAACCGAAAAAAAGTTCGTCATGCAGAAATTAAGGAACAAGGGTTGGAAGTCGGAACGGACGTCATGCTGGACTCAATTCAGAGTCCGAATATATATAATTTTTCTCTATGCGTACTCCGAACAGTTACTTCGTTTTTTAATGTTTTAAAAGCTAGATCTAGAGGTGTAAGTTTCTATAACCCAATTAGTATTAATATAGCTTGTCTATTATTTGAAACGAAGTGGCTAGCCGTACTTAGATCTAGGTTTGGCCCTATCGACTCAAGCCTGTTTAGTACACAGGTCTCATTAGATTTAGATCTAGATCTAGTACTTAATTATTCAGGTTCAAATACATGCAAGTCAGTAAGGCACCTTTTGGTTTTGTCTGAAATACAAATACTTTAGGCATTGCAAACTAAAAATTTCTTTTACAATTCAGACGGCTAGCCTGACAGTCTAGCCGTACTTATCTTAGGCCCTATTAACAAACGAACATTAACAAATCATTAGAAAACAAGAGGTTTAAAATACATGCACTGTCATTAAGGCATCTGGTTTCATCTCAAATTCAAATACTTTAGGTACTGCACACTAAAAATGTATATTTACAACGAAGTGACTATTTTTCTCCGAACGTTCGGAGAAATAGTGCCGATCTTTATTTCTCCGAACGATTTTCGGCTTCCGGTCTCGTGATTTTTTGCCTATTTATTGCGAGAGTTCGGCGCCAACTTTCATTCTGCCTCTGGTCTGGGAAGGAACACGTATCGCATGGCAAGCCCGCCTACAGACAACCTTCAGTAACACCCACCACACACCCACCACCATCATGCACATGTACACACACTAACTAAACATAACTAGTGGGCAACTTTTGAACGTATGACGAGCTGAACTGTGGATGGAGAGACAGTGTGAGTGAAAGAGCGGGTGAAAGGAAGAATGTGCGAGTGTATCCACAGGCGAAAGCAACTACAAGACGACGACACTGACCACCCCTGGCCTGGTCCACAGCTCACGAACAAAAGGAATGCAGCTCAGGCGGTGTTTTGCCTATATTATTGTCCATGGTTCGCAGGGAACAAGTGAGATTTTCTTTGTGTGTGCCTGGAGGGATGGGGTGGGGTATGAAAGTCATGCGGACGGGGATGAGCCGCGGGAGAGAACACGGGAATTGAATGAAAGAGTGAAACTGAAAGAGACGAATGACTCATGAGTCCTGGAGTGAATGGATCCTGTGTTTCTATTTTTGTATACTTTGAACTGTTACTGAATAAAGGCTGAAATAAAGCCCGAAAAATAAACAAACACACACACACACTCCTCACTCTCCACTTACTACCACACACAGACACACTCAAACACTCACACATACATACACACACACACACACAGGAGCAAATTTTTGGTTCTATATCTATTTCAATTTTCAACAGCTAGTCTAGATGAGATTTTTAGATGGGTGTAAAAACGTGAAAAAGAAAGGTTTCACAACAGAAAGAAATCAAAATTAGAACAGCCCATAAACAACAACAAACATTAATAAATAAGGGCGTGTGTCCACCTGTCCGAAGAAGATTGGCAGTTTTAACCCTAAATGTGCGTAATTTTAAAAAAAGTACAGGATATTACATGTAAATTATGGAATCACACACATTAAGGGGCTTGCCAGTGTCAGTGCAGCAGTGACAAACGCAGATGCCAGTTCTATGTGTCGTTATCAATAACCCTCCGTAGATCTAGATCTAGACAGCACACGAGTGAACACAACACATTACGTTTAAAAGCAGCACCCTTCATAGGCAACACGTCATATCTATAGCGAAAAACTGTTTGGAATTGTAGCATTTCTTTATATAAATATTTACGGCGGACATTTTTTGGACCGATTGAACCATATTGTATACGAACAATCTTTGGTAGGCCCATACTATAATTATAGATCTATATAATATCCGAAATTTGGGGGAAAGGATGGTAGGCCCTATTTCAGAGTGTTCGGAGAAATAGTGCCCAGCTTTATTTTCCTGAACGTTCGGAGAAATAGTGCCCAGCTTTATTTTTTCCCGAACGTTCGGAGAAATAGTGCCCAGCTTTATTTTCCCGAACGTTCGGAGAAATAGTGCCGGCCTATTTACAATTCAGTAGGCCTATTTTTTGTAAATGGTCAGTCTAGCCATCATATCTAGCCGTCATTAAGTACGGGGCTAGCCTCTTCCTATTTGAAAAGATTTACAACGGATGTTGAGTGAAGACTAGTAGAGTCTAGACTGTAGATATAGATCTATATCTAGATCTACCCTACCTAACTTTTACCTGAATGGGCAAGACGACGCGCATCGTCCATTGTTGATCCAGTGACATCTTTGTAAACAATTGTTCGTCCTATCTCCGCTGTCTGCAAGCAGGTATTGAACTCATCCACGTTGAACACTGTCGACATCGTTCACTTCTCAAATCAAAAGTCGAGCTTGAAATCAATCAAAATCAAATTAAATCAATTACAATCAGAACAGTCTAGATCTAGATCTAGAAGGCCACGCAAAGTATTAGATTTCTATACCCCCTCAAGATGTTGTTCGCTGTTCATGTCGTACTTTGGGCCCGGCGTTGACCTTTCATCATAAAGTAGGCTAGATCTAGGCCAAGTCAGTAAGAAGAAACCACAAGCGAACAGCTGATATCATCGAATGTTACGTCGAGTCTCCGGTTTGTTTCGTGGGAAATCTAGACTTGTCTCAACTTTTGACTCGAAGTTTTTTAGATGACCAAGGGGAAGTAACTGAATATTCGCGCACTTTTTATGGGTGCACAGGCTAGAGATCTATCTTAGCAACTGTCTCCTAAACCAAGAATATCGTGAAAAAGAAACCCAAAGCCAGCTGAGCCGATGAAATAAAAGTGTGAGAAGCGTGTTTTCTCATTATACTATTTAAATTTTGTAGTTGTGTGGTTTTTGCCTTTATTCATACAATACTTTAGGATTCATGCAGTCAGTGTTGTGTCTTGTCTCTGCCCTGTCCTGTGCTGTGTTACTGTTCGTTTCAGTTTCAGTTTTTTTAGATTTGGCCGTCACTATAGTATTAGGACTCGATTTTCAGGCTATTCTCACCCGTTGTGAAACAAGACCTGTTTTTCCTCATTTCGGAATACTGTCTATCGGTGGAGTATTTAAAAGCTAGATCTAGGCTAATATTTTCTTTGTTTTATAATTGCAGGAAGCATAGAGTTTGACTTGGAAACTGTCTGCTGAGTCGGGATTCGTCTGGTCCTGGACAGTGCGGTGTGACTTTGATAATGAGCAAGTCTCGAAACAACGGAGGTCCCCCTCCTAAGAAAAAGTTGAGGTACTGGTGACATTCTATTCTTTTACAATTCAAATTTACAGACAACTGTCTTTCATTCTCATTCATTAATTGTTTGTTATGTTGGGGGGAAAGCCATGTTGGGGTTGTTTTTTTTAAAGATTGTTTTCTGCTCAAATCATGGTCTCAAAAAGATTATTTAGCTTTGTCGCTTTGACTTAGAGGGCAGTAAATAAAGTTCTGTTTATGTAACATTGTGGACCGCATACACTGCTAGACTTATTATAAATGACTACCACCACCACTGTCGACTACCATCAGTTTCGCAGCTTGTAGAAAAACGAGGGTTCTGTCCTTCACAGTAGTTAAGTAGAGAATTATATATAGAGATCTATATATATATATATGATTTGTTTTATTCTTGCGAAGGTTTTGTTCACTTTATTTCTTTTATCCAACGAACTGTTACCGTTTCTTATTGTTAAATCGCAATTTTTTAAATACTTTTGAGATGTTTGACCTTTCAACTGAACATATTATATTGGAGATGGGTGAATGCTAATAATGACTAATCAGAGGTCTCGTCTCATCTATAAAGTTGCCTTAGCGGGTTGTTGGTGGGTGCTCCGGGTGTGAATCGCTCCTTTATTCTAATCTTCGGCTTTCAAGCAACCTTTTTATGTTGCAAGTTTAAAAGTAAAACTAAATTTACTTAAATTTAATATCTTTCCTTTCTATTGTTCTGATTTTTTTAAAAATATTTCCTGTCAAAGAAATGAGGAGGAGGAGGATGACGATCCCTCCAACTTTGAGGCCGAACTTGCCCTGATGGAAGAGATAGAAGCTGAAGGCAGGGACTCAGAACCCATGGAGGAAGAGGGGGATGGGCCACAGTGCGAAGGTACCACCACCTCCAACCCCAAGTGGGCTCGACCTGCTCTGCCACCCATCAACTCCTCCACAGACAGCATCACTTTCCAACAGATTGACCTGGACTTTTATGTTGGTGAGCTCTAGTTGTAGTCAGTGAAGACAGGGGAGCAAGGAGGGGGGATCCAGTCTGCCTAAAAAGCCTAATACGAGGTGTCCATTATGGCTGGATCGGGGCCGATCGCCCGACTTGGTCGCATGAAACTGAAAACAAACACGTTTGTTTTTTAGTCGGGCGATCGGCCCGATCCTGCCGTAATGGGCATCCATATAAAGGGAAATGTTGTAGAAGCTAACTGAAAGAGCATCATCATTGTCTATGCCTTCCACCCCTTGAAGGGTACAGACAAGCTCCTTCCATTTATCTCTGTCCTGGGCCATCCTTTCACCCCTGGCAGGGTACAGGCCACATACAAGCTCCTTCCATTTATCTCTGTCCTGGGCCATCCTTTCACCCCTGGCAGGGTACAGGCCACATACAAGCTCCTTCCATTTATCTCTGTCCTGGGCCATCCTTTCACCCCTGGCAGGGATAGGCCACATACAAGCTCCTTCCATTTATCTCTGTCCTGGGCCATCCTTCCAACCTCATTCCAAGTGGGCTTCATCTCTCTCATGTCCCTTTCCACACATCTCCTCGTTTCTCATGGCCTACCCCTGCCTCGTGCTCCCTGTGGGTTCCACTGCAGCGACTGTCTTGTGATGTTTCTGCTGGGCTTTCTGAGGGTGTGTCCCATACATCGCCACTTTCTTAGTCATATTTCTACTTCTATCTATTCTTTTGTCCTGTCCTTTCCCACAGCTTTCTTTAAATTCTTATTCTATCCTGCCAATTAATTCTTAGAGCTGACAGAGCAAAGAACTATAAATAAGACAATCACCAGTACAAACGGCACTTGCCATTTCCTCTCTGGCATTTTTTACTTCATAATGACAGTGAAAAACACCCAGCTCTCTAAGACCAATATTTTTTGTCCTTGGCGATTGGTGGCCGTCCTAGACAGTTTCAGCTTTATCCACTGTATTTTGGTGGCTCATCTTTACTAAGTTACTATCCTCATTTTGCCTCTACTTCTTTTGTATTATATTTGTTACTCTCTTGTGAACTGCTATTTCCAGGGTGCCTTGATAGTCGAAGCAGACTTTGTGCTGTTGAGGCTCTAGAGAGGTGAACAGAGTCAGCCTGATTCCCCGTTTGGACTTCTCTGTTGACAACCACCCCTTGTCGCTCATATGACCTTATGCAGTTGCGAGCACCGTAAAACCTTACCTTAACTAAAACTAAACCACTGTATTCTGGTGACCGTCTTGGAAGATTTCAGCTTTATCCACTATTTTTTTGGCTGTCTTAAACAGTTTCAGCTTTATCCATTGTATCTTGGTGGCTCTTCGAGACAGTCTCAACTTTTATCTTTATCCACTTTATTTTCCGCATGCAGGAACCCACGTGAAAGGAATGCCTGGTGCAACACAAGGCCCTGTCCCCATTGTGCGGATGTGTGGCATAACAGAAGACGGAAACAGTGTTCTGGCGCACGTTCATGGCTTCACACCGTACTTCTACGTTCCCGCACAGGCGGGCTTCAAGCAGGAGGATTGTGGGAAGTTTCTGGTGTGTTGGGTTTTGTTCTTTATTCCTTTTTTTTTTCTGTTTTTTTTTTCTTCTTCTTCTTCTTGTTCTTCCCTCCATCACCTTCTGAGGCTGTCCCGGACTCGGTGATTGGGAATTTATTAGAATGTCTGGACATTTTTATCAAATTTTTATTTTTACACTCAACCTCTTGTATGTCCATAAAAAACATTCCCATGTGAATTTTACTGAGAAAACATTGAATAAAGGCACAATATGTGTCATTTTTCTGTTTTCAAGGACTCTTTAGCTTTTGGAGTTACCATACTTTGGCAGCCATTTTCTCACTAATTTCACCACTGAAACCAGTCGACCACATTTCATTCAATCACAAATGGCAAATATCTTGAGTTCTATTCAAGAGAGTTGGATATTTATTCAACTGAAAGTAAGGCAAAAACATCAGCTTTCAGATGATACCAATAACTCCACATGCACAAAAATTGACGAGCGCCTGATTCCGACGTGTCGTGACACATATTATTTTGTGTTGTGTACAGGATGCCCTGAACTCTGCCGCCAGGAAAGATCTACGCTCCAACAGAGAGGGCATCATCCAGGCTGTGTTGGCGGTGGATTGCCTCATGAGGGAGAGTGAGTCGTAATTTCATCCAGCGTTACGGTTTTCATAGAGCAGCTGCCTATCTGTACGTTAAATAAGCGTATTTTTAATACGTTTTTGAGGGTACTGAAGTCCGTTTTTGTATTCAGAAATACGACCATAAGTCCACCGGAAATGTTGAAATTTTAAATTGGCTTAGTTTTAATAAGAGTTTTACGGCAATTGCATTGCAAGAGCTATAATAAGTCAATAAGCAGGGCTTGAAATAGTCCGCGGCACCCCGGCAATTTGCCTTGGTGCCTTTGCAATTTGCCGTAATGCCCTTAACATCAAAGGGTTAACCGCGGCAATTTTTGCCCTGCCCTTGTTTTTAGAAAATGTACCACCATGAAAATAAATCAATATTTGTTCTGTGCTGTCACTTTTGGGAAAAAAAGAAAAGAAAGTTTTAAATACAAGCATCTTGTCGGGTTCGCCGCCGTGGCAGGTCAGTGAACCTTAGTCACAAGGTACTGCATCGTGTGAGCAGCGGTAGTTGGGGTCACCAAAGTTCATTCAAAGTCTGAACATCGCAAAGTATGGGACTCCGGAATAGGGGGGGGGGGGGGGGGGCATTATTATTTTTATTTTTTAAGATACACTCATGGAAGAGAGAGAGGGGGGGGTATGAAGACATCCTGTTAGACTCGTCTGAAATTTCATCAAAGCTTCAGTCAGACACTGCTCAGCTTGACCATTGTGTCCATTTTGTCATGGCAAGTGCAAACACACTCACATTAACCAAACCTCAGCAGTGTTTGAAAAAAGATCTGGATGAAAAAGAAGACTGCAGATGTGAGAGAAAGTGCAAGTGTGATGATTACAAACATGAAAGATGTGTTGGATAAGCTGGTGCTGTGCTTGGAAGAAAGATTTTCTGGCACATCAGAAGATAAAGTTTTGAAGAGTGCAGGGATATTTGACAGGACAAATGTGCCTGAAACTGACAAAATGGATGAGCTGAAAGAATATGGTGAGACACAGATGGATGACTTGATAGCTCATTATGAGACTGCTTCAACACCAAGGATGCTCAACACTGAAAGTAAAGAAAGAGTGGCTCATGTTTCTCTCCGAAAGTCAGGGCTTAATACCTCTGAGTGAGAAGAAGACAAGGTCAGTCTTGAAAAAGCAAGAAAATTTCCCAATCTGTCTCATTTAGCTCATATAATCCCTGTTTCATTTGAAGAGGCGCATCCTTGGTGACTGAAGGCATTTGCTTTCCAGAGATATGCTTGAAAAGATCATGCTTATATGTCCCAATGGTCCTGAGATCAAGGAATTCCACCCAGAACACTGCATTGCCAAGTGGCAAGAGATTTGTCTCACAAATAGTAATAGACGTCCTGATAATACAGAACTATTCCCCGAAATCATCTTCTTTGGTGATACTTTTTAAAATCACTTTTGTGTTTTCCCAGAAGGGACAATCAAACAGTAAGCAAGTCTTTTTCTATATTGTGTGTGCCAACATATTTTCAATATTCTGATCACCTAGTGATTTACTTAGTTTTCATTCATGACTTTAGAAATTTTCCGATAACTCTATACTTTTGTTGAGAGCAAGAATAAATTGTATTGTTATTTATAGAAACGTTGTGATGCACGATCCAGTATTACCAACTTTAATCAACAAAATGATCACCTATAATTTTTGCCTTGGTGCCCTAGAAAATTGCCTGGGTGCCCTCTGATCTTTAGGCCCCAACGAGGCAATTTTTGCCTGCCCTCCTGAACACCTAATTCAAGCCCTGAATAAGAGAATGTTTGAATTTAACTTATAACTTATTTCGACCATAAATGGTCGCTTTTAAGGACAAGTGGGCTATCCCGAAAAAATCGAAGGGAAAGTTTTTGCCCTTTGTTCAGTTTCATTAAAAGACAAGGAGAGTTTTTCTCTATAACCAAACAAATATACACACCAATGAAACCAAACTTCTCCTAAAGGTAAGGCAATGCCCACTTTTGGTGTAGGTCAAGATTTCTGGAAACCCTCGAAATCTGGATTAGCCCGCTTGTCATTAAATGCGACCAAATCATCTCTGTTGTTTTGTTGTGTTGTGTAATATATTGATTCAAGTAATTCAGCTCAAAATCTAAATGGTGTCTTTGTTTTTGTGTAGGTATCTACGGTTACCACGGAAACAGGAAAATTCCATTTCTGAAGGTAACGGTGGCCTTACCTCGTCTGATCGCCCCGTGCAAGCGTCTCCTGGAACAAGGGTTTGTGTGCCCGGGCTACCCGCAGCACGCCTACCAGACCTACGAGAGTAACATCGACTTTGAGATCAGGTGTGCTTGACTTGTTTGTTGGTGGTTCAAGCTTTCTAGTTTTTGAAACATTTGTGGGAGGATCAGGTTTGGTTGACTTGTTGATGGTTCAATCTTTCCAGTTGTTGACACATTTGTGTGGGATCGTTGGAGGAATCAGGTTGGGTTGACTTGTTGATGGTTCAATCTTTCTAGTTTTTGAAACATTTGTGGGAGGATCGTTGGAGGAATCAGGTTGGGTTGACTTGTAACATTGAGCGTCCCTGAGTGGGTTTTGAAAAAGTTGTCAGTCATGCGTTTTGTTCCAAGCTTACCATTTGTGAGGTAGCGTGGTGAAATCAGGCGCTCACCAAAATGATGAAAGTCAAGAAACTGGCATTTTTCCACAGGTTTGGGAAATTTTATAGAATTTTGTTGGTTTTTTTTGGCTGAACACCTTTCATGTCCATTCAAGAACGCATTTCTGTGTGTGTTTTACTGAAAAACGTTGATTAATTTTTAAGTAAAGACATAAAAGATATAAATTTTCAGCTTCCTCGGACTCTCAAGCTAAGGAAATAAATCAGCTTTGGCTGCTATGTCCTGGCTACTTTTTCCTCTAAAACCTTGCGAGCCCCACCTCCTTCAATTGCCGAAATCTTGACTTGTATTCAAGATATTTTTTTCATCAAATGCATGGCAAATGGACAGGTTTTAAGATGATACCAATAACTCCATATGCCTGTGTTGTGTTATTGGGTTTTGATTAAAGGCTTACAACATAAGAAATTGTGAAGATGGAGACATGATAAACTCGTGTTGTTCCTGGGATAATCAAAACAGGAAGTTTTGTTTTTTTACTTTACTAATTGGCCAGGGACTGGTAGAGAATGGGGGTTACAATATTTGCCAGTTTGGCCAGACGACACAAGCATATATAACAGCCTCAAAATTGACGAGCGCCTGTGACGGCTGCATATGGCCTCACATTATAAAAAGATTAAAACTTGTTCATGGGGATCAGACAAACAAACTCAAAGAGCTCTATACCTGGGTTTTGTCCGATCTTCCCTGGAATACAGCAATAGCCTACTCACTATGTGCAGTACAACTACTTGCAACACCCTTGACAAGGTCCAAAACAATGCCCTTCGTTTTATAAATGGTGGCATGAGATCCACACCTACCGCCGCATGCGAAGTCCTTGCAAATGTTGAACCCCTGGGAATCCGCAGAGATAAAGCAGTTTTGGAGCTACATGAAAGAACCAAAAGAATGTGCCCCAACCACCCAAACAGGAAATTAGTAGAAACATGGAAACCAAAGAAACGAATTCAACAAAAGTCAATCATGCATCACATCACAGAACTAATGGAGAGCCACCGTCTACCACAAAACAGAAAAGAAACCAAAAGAGTCCACCAAAACATCCCTCTCCACCTTTCTTTAAAAAAGCCAATCATTACATCTCTCAAAGACAAGAGCACAAAATCGTCAGACTCAGTGACGCTGATGCTTGCATCACATCAAACAATCGACAGCTATTCAGATGACTGGATACACGTCTATACGGACGGCTCAGCATTCAAAGGCACAACCAAAGCCGGATATGGAATACTAATACAGTACCCAGATGGAAGTTCCAATGAGATCTCTGCAGCCTGTGGAAAGAAATGCAGCAACTACGATGCAGAAATGATGGCAATTGAAACAGCACTGTACCATCTCCGTACAGTTTTTGACACTCATCCTGGAAAAGCACAGAGTATTGTGATTTTCACTGACTCTTTATCAGTATTACAAGCCATAGAAAATGACCATTACTGTTTGGATCCCATCATCTGATAACATCCTGTGGCATCAACCTAGTAATGCAGTGGGTCCCCGGACACTCGGACATACCTGGAAATGACAGAGCAGACACACTCGCCAAACGTGGATCTAGACAGGAACAACCCAACACTCCAACTTCATACAACACTGCAAAACAAATCATCAAAAGCAACAACAAACAAGATTGGATGAATAGAAGGGCCCTGGGAAAGACAGGCAGAGCAGTTTTCAAACATATGACCACAACAAAAAAGAATGACAATATCATATCAACCGCCTTCAGAGAAAGAAACAGACCACGATCTTCCGCCTACGAACAGAACATGTACCGCTCAACTTCCACCTGAACAGAATAAACCCGAAACTTCCTCCAATGTGTCCCTTGTGTGACTATGCATATGAGACTGTGGAGCATCACCTGTTCCACTGCACAGCCCTAAATGACATCAGAGCTACCCTTCTCCCTCCGAGACCTAACATTGACAACACACTCTATGGAACTTTACAGCAACTGCAGCAAACCTGCACTTATCACTACATGGCATTGGACAGAAGGGCGAGAGCCCAGCTGTTTCTGGATCGATAACAACAACAACAACATAAAACTTGAAAAGATGACGAAAACACAGTCTCTTTCTTGCCTACCTGCCGGTAAACTGATTTATTGTCTTTTCTTTTACAATGAGATCTCGTGTGTATTCAAAACGAGATAAGATGTAACGTGTCAAGGAGAGGAAATAATTGTGATATTAAAGAATCTTTATTTCAACATTCGCAACATCGTTCATTCCCATTTTTAGTTTTCATAACAGCATTTATTCATTACAGCGCCCAATTCCACCGCGTTGTGACACATTTATAGTAGATGTTTTCTGTTCCCACGGCCAGGTTTATGGTAGACACCAACGTCGTGGGCTGTAACTGGATCGAGCTCCCCGCAGGCAAGTACAGCGTGAGATCCCACAAGTCGTCGAGTCTCGGGGTCGTGTCTCGGTGCCAGCTGGAGGTGGACGTGTCCTGGGAGGACTTCATCTCGCACCCGGCCGAGGGAGAATGGAGCAAGGTCGCCCCGTTCAGGATTCTCAGCTTCGATATCGAGTGTGCCGGTCGCAAAGGTAGCTGGACTTTACTTGGTCAGAGTTTGCTGTTGAGCGAGTGGAAACTTGCACTATACAATAGCCATCTATGATTACTAGGATTATATTATCTTGACCCACTTTGTTGTGGGTAGAGTCTCTGTTTTGGTTTTGAAAATTTGCAGGTTTGCCAACTGCCCCGGATTTTCTAAGATTGTCCTGGATTCTGTGATCAGGAATTTGAAAGCCTTATCTTATGCACCCCACCAAAAGTTGTCCCACTTGATGTGGTGATTTTGTTCAGGGTTGTGTCATTTCAAGTTTTATTGTAGGGTGTCCCTGATTGGGTATTTTAAAAGTTTATCCATCCTGTGTCCGCAGCAAGCCCAGAAAACTAATTTTTTTCCTCGAGAGAAAAAATACAAACTGTTTCATTCTTTTAACAATGTACCTACTTTATATATCTTTTCTTTTCTTTTTTAAAATACCTTTGAATTTGAATTGTTACAGAATATGTTCTTGAGTATAGAAACTGAAATATTCAGGAAACTGCAATGAAAAGATTTTTGGAAATTCTGGTATTAGTATGGCCTTGTTTATGTTTTCTTTAAATATATATGAACTTGCAAGGGGTTCCTTTATGTATGCATGACCTTGCGAATGTTTCCTTTATATATCTGTGACCTTGGCCTTGCTAATATTTCTTTTTTTCTCATCAACCAGGGGTTTTCCCAGAGGCGCACAAAGATCCGGTCATCCAGATTGCGAACATGGTGATCCGACAGGGAGATTCCGATCCGTTCATCCGGAATGTGTTCACGCTGAAATCGTGCGCGCCAGTGGTGGGCTCTCAGGTTTTGTCTTTTGAGAAAGAGTCGGAGCTCCTGGAGGTATGTAGTTTTTGTACCTCACTTTTTGAAATGACATGTGCCGAATTTTGATTTTTAAAATTTCACCGTAATTATATTAATTGGTGAGAGGTTGTTTGTTTGGGTTTTTTTAGGGGGGAGGGGGGTATATGATTTGTGGGTTTTGGGGTTGTTTTTTTAGGTTGTACATCATGTTTGTAAAATGTGTAATTGTGTGTTGGTTTGTGAGAGTGTTTGCGTTTCCAAAATATGTGTCTTTCTTTTTCTGTTGAGCCGATGGCACAACTCTGTTGCCTCAAAAACAAATGGGTTTGTTTTCAGTTTTAGTCGACCGAGTCGGGCCCCGTATGAGTGTAAGAATCTGCCACGTACCATTTTGATATGAGAAGTGACGTATGGCTGAGTCTTAAACTGAGCAAGTGGGTGGTTGGTGGGTGCTCTGGTGTGGTTTGCTTCTTCTTTCTTATCAAACATCTATCGTCCTTATCTCCCGTTCTTCTTTTTTATGTTTGTTACTCTCTTGTAACACCTCTAATCTTCTGGCGCTCATATGACCTTATGCAGTTGCGAGCACCGTAAAACCTCTACTAAAACTAAAATACGACAGGCCGAAGGGCTAGAACCCATATGGCCGCTGGATCAGAAAAGTAGAGTAAAAGTAAAAGTCCAACTGAGTCTGTGGTTTCAGCATAAAGCTGTTGTCAGAGTAACCGTCAGTGTGTATAGCTCTTTAGAGTATGTATCTAGATATAACTCTGAAGGTTTTGTCATTAAATTCCTGCCTGTGGTTGAATGATGCATCTGATGTGATATGTACATTTGTCAGCTTTACTTCTCTTTTCATATTGAAGTTTAATGAGAGTAATAAAAAAGTAATATGTAATTGAAATTTCTATGTATACATGTACCTGCATGTGTTTTTACAGTCCTGTACAGCCAAGAAAAGGTTCCCTCTGGGATAATGCAGTATTTTCTTATCTGATCTTTTCTTAACTGTTGGGTCTATCTCTCTCCAGAAATGGGCGGCTTTTTTCAGGGAGGTGGACCCAGACATCATCACAGGGTACAACATCCAGAACTTTGACTTTCCCTTCCTCATCAACAGGTCCAACCATTTGAAGGTTTGTGCTCATTTTACATCAGAACACAGAAAGTAGGTCGAACACAACAGACTCGAAATCACACCTCCGTTGAGCTGTGCCTACTGTCCTGCTTTTTTTTTTTTTTTTTTTTTCCTTGTTTGTTTGTTTTTTCTAAGATATCCCTCGAACTACGGATCCCTCTATCCCCCGGGGCAGTGCCACTGACTGAAGTGTCTTTAGGCCATTCCTAAAGGGGGGACATTTCTCATTCTTATGCACAGTAGAACTGTAAATGGGCTGATTCATCAATGTCACGCTCATAACTGTGCCTGTACTACAACAGGGAACTGCTGCTTTTTCTTTCCTAATCCTTACTATCGTCATTTTCCTCTACTTCTTTTGTATGTATGTCACTCTCTTGTGACCCACTATTTCCGGGGGTGCCTTGATAGTCGAAGCAGACTTTGTGCTGTTGAAGCTAGAGAGGTGAGCAGAGTAAGTCTGAATCCATGTAAAGACTTCTCTGTTGACATCCACCCCTTGGCGCTCATATGACCTTGTGCAGTTGCGAGCGCCGAAGAACCTCAGCTAAAAAAAACCATCACTCGAACTACCGAGGCCGGTCCGAACGAATTCGAGCTATCGGTGTTCTACTGTATTTCCTGACTTGCTGACATTTACTTTCTCTCTGTGCCGCGGGTACGTAAGACGTTGAACCGTTGACATCATGTTTGTTTTGTCTGTCTGTGGCTGCTTCCTCTGACCTTGATACGTCCGGACCCTGGCTGATTGCTTGTCTCTTCTCTCATGATGCGTCTGTAACTATCAGTTGGTCTACCTCTTTTACTTTTTGGTCTCAAGTGCCATGTCTAAAGGGATATTTTATTCCCTGGGGCAGTGCTACTGACTGAAATGTCTTTAGTCCATTCCCAAAGGGGGGACATTTATCATGTTCTTATGCACAATTGAATTGTAATCGTAAATGGGCTGATTCATGTCATGCTCATAACTGTGCCTGATCTACAACTGGGAACTGCTGCTTTTTCTTTCCTAATCCTTACAATCGCAATTTTCCTTTACTTCTTTTGTATGTTTGTCACACACTTGTGACCCACTATTTCCGGAGTGCCTTGATAGTCGAAGCAGACTTTGTGCTGTTGAAGCTAGAGAGGTGAGCAGAGAAAGCCTGATTCCCTGTACAGACTTCTCTGTTGACATCCACCCCTTGGTGCTCATATGATCTTATGCAGTTGCGAGCGCCGTAAAACCTCTACTAAAACAAAACAAAACAAGTACCATGTCTAAAAGGACATTTTTGTCTTTAGCATTAAAAAAAACCCACATTAAAACTCTGTGGTTGGCTGGTGGTCTGGTGTGGCTTGCACCTCCTTTCCTATCAAACATCTATCGTCCTTATCTCTCCTTTTTTGTGTACCTTATCCTCTTGTAACACCTCTATTCTTCGCCACTATGACCTTGTTGTATTGCAAATGCCGTAAAACTCTACTGAAACTAAAAGCGATGCACAATATTTTTTCTCAGGTCAAAGACTTCTCCTATCTGGGTCGCATCAGGAACACGGTGTCGATCTTGAAGGACGCCACTTTCCAGAGCAAACAGATGGGCAAACGAGAGAACAAAGTGCTCAACATCGAGGGTCGCGTCCAGTTTGACCTTCTACAGGTCAGAGGGTTATAAGTAGATACGGTGGAGTCTGCTGAAACCAAACCCGCACCCAGTTAATCCAAAAATAGCAGGAAACCAAAAGAAAAGAAAATCCTTTCCGCTTTTTTTTTTTTTCAATTCTATTCAAGCAACTTTTCTATACTGAAAACTCGATAAAACTGAAATAGTTGTTATTGATACAGTATAAAACTGAAGAAAATCTAGCAGTCCTGCAGATTTCGGTTTAAGCGGACTCCCCTTAATGTAATAAATTAAACTTTATAGGTCCTCATGGGGGGTGTCTGGGTTACAACGACAAACATACATAAATACATATATTTGTTAACACATAAATATGCTTTCAAAGAATACCAAATTCACAACATTACACCAATGCTGACAATTTTACAAACATGCCATTGCTAGTGGCCACTTCAGTCACCAGTTTTTTTGTTCTTTTTTTAGCTAGGGTTACTCAGGGCTGCTCATCATTATGAATTTGGTGGAGTTGTTCCCATTTTTGTGCAATTTTAGGAAAATACGATCGTAACACCCCATGATTTTGATATTTAAGAATTTATTTGCCATGTCGCTTCCCCCTACCCGTCCCCACTCTGGTGCAATGTAAGAAAACCAATCAGACCCTGACTGTTAGTTTTAGTGTGTTAGTAAGTTCCAGGTTTTTTCATATACATGTACATATATATTGACATTTTTTCACTGTCCTTTCGTGTATAGTTAATGTATGCTTGTGAAAGTTCTTTTTGTGGTGAAACTTTTTTTTTGCTTCTCTGAAATATTTTTTCTTGTGTGAATGATTATGTGATTGGTGTAAAGCGCTCAGAGCTTTTATACTAGTATGGGATAGAGCGCTATATAAATGCAATCTATTATTTTTATTATTATTATTATTAACTTTCTACACATCTACTCACTGCATCACTTATAGCTGTCTAACACCCTCTGGGCATCGGTAGCTTAGTGTTGAGACTACTCTACTGGACTCATAATCATGAGATTGCAGGTTCAGGGGTTCGAGCCTTTCCTTGGTCCGACGTTGTGTCCTTACAGAAGGCACTTTACACAAATTTCCCACTTGGCTCAATCCTTTCGGAGACGGACGTTAAACTAGGAGACCCCGCCTCTGAACCCGTCCAGGCCCAGACACTTTTGTGTACTCCCTAACCCCAGTCCCAGCCAAGTGGGTGGTTGGCGGGTGCTCTGGTGTGGTTTGCTTCTTTCCTGTCAAACATCTATCGTCCTAATCTCCCCTCCTTCTTTTTTGTGTTTGTTACTCTCTTGTAACACCTCTAATCTTCGGCACTTATATAACCTTATTGTGTTGCAAGTGCCGTAAAACTCTTACTAAAACTAAAAACCACCATATTAAAACAACCGTTCTTTGTTCCAAAGTTTGGTTGTTTTCCGTGATGTGATGAATGTTTTCCGCGACGCCCAAAAGGGTATAAGTGGCGGATAAAAGTAAGTAAAGATGAAAGTTTTCCATGTATTTTTGTACTTCCAGATTTTGCTGCGAGACTACAAGCTCCGGTCGTACACCCTCAATGCCGTGTCTTTCCACTTCCTCCAAGAGCAGAAGGAGGACGTGCAGCATTCTATCATCACAGATCTACAGGTAATGAACACCTGACCAGTACTCCCTTACCTTACTTTACTTTTCATCAGAGCTACCCTTCTCCCTCCGAGACCTAACATTGACAACACACTCTATGGAACTTTGCAGCAAACCTGCACTTATCACTACATGACATTGGGCAGAATAGCGAGAGCCCAGCTGTTGCTGGATAGATAACAACTTATCTTTTCTTTTCTGATCCAGCGGCCATTTGAGTTCTAACCCTTCGGCCTGTCAATATGGCAAAGAATTTACAGGTTTTTATCAGCTGTGTTTTGTCGCTGTATAGAGTGTTTCCGATGTCTGGGGAGGCAGGTAGGTAGGTACTACGCAGGTCACTAAGTGCAGGGCAGGTAAAGAGGTGGTGTGATACTGTTTCATCCTGGCAGTCGCACAGCGGGCAGTCGGGTGGGGTATCCTTGGGGATCCTATTTAGGTAGGAATTCAAGGAGATGTGTTGTGTTCGCAGGCGAAAGCAAATACTCCGATAAAATCAGAGTCCCCATGTGTGTGTGGGGGGGGGGGGTTCCCCTAGTTTACTACATAAACATTTTTTTCGATAATCCTAACATATTGATTGTCAAAATAAATATCAAGCCTTGCTATGAACGAATGTAAAAACAACCTACTTGTGTCCCACGCGAATAACCAGCGGTTCAGTCAGCAGGTTTCGGTTTTAAGCAGGGGACTCTACTGTGTTATTTTCAGGCTGATTTCAGTTTTTACACGCACTCCTTTGTTATTTGTGAGGCAGCTTGATGAAATCGGGCGCTCTTCAAAATAATCAAAGTGAAGAAACTGGCATTTTTCCACAGGTTTGCAAATTTTATCGAATTTTTTGTTCAACACTTTTCATGCCCATTAGGGAACACATTTCTGTGTGGATTTTACTGAAAATCGTTGATTTAAGGCAAAGGAAATAGTTGATCTTTGGTGGCCATTTTCTCACTAATATTACCTTTGAAACCAGGCCACTCCGCCTCCTTTAATCGCAAATATCTCGACTTCTATTCAAGATAAATGGATATTTTTTTCATCAAATACAAGACAAATGAACAACCTCTCTAAGACGATACCAATAACTCCATATGCCCAAAAATTGACGAGCACCTGATTCCACTGCGTTGTGACACATTTTCAGAACGGAAACGAGCAGACGCGGCGTCGTCTGGCGGTGTACTGCCTGAAGGACGCCATCTTGCCCGTGCGTCTGCTGGAGAAGCTGATGTGTGTCATCAACTACATGGAGATGGCGCGTGTAACGGGCGTGCCGCTTCCCTTCCTCCTGTCCAGAGGTCAGCAGGTCAAGGTCATGTCACAGCTGCTGCGGAAGGTGAGTGATGCACTGTAAGGCGCCGCCTCGGAACTATTTTGTCCACAGTGTCGTTATCACTCAGTGCCAGATCTGCGACAGACATCGGCGATCATGGTTCTCTATTCATTCATTTGCTCGGATACTCTCAAAAAAGCTGTCCCCGTGGTTTTATGCATTCTGCATAATTTAGCCAAATTTGATCATTTTTTGCATAATTTCTGATTATTTTCCTTTATCATTCTATGTTAAAATTAACAGAAATGCATAATTTCACATTTTTGGGCTCAGTTTGCATAATTTCAGAATTTTTCTTGCATAAAACGACGGGGACAGAAAAAGCTAAGTTTCCCTGATCTTTCCCCGTTACCCATCTGTTTAGGTTCCCTAAGTAGGTTGTTCTGGGCCTACCCCTGCCTCGTTCGCCTTCAGTTTTGCCAGTGAGAGCTAGATGTTCAAGAACCTTATGTCTATTCAGGTGTCCAGAGTGTACCTGTGACCCGCTATTTCCGGGGTGCCTTGATAGCTGAAGCAGATATTGTGCTGTTGATGCTAGAGAGGTGAGCAGAGTAAGCCTGATTCCCTGTAAAGACTTCTCTGTCGACACCCACCCCTTGGCGCTCATATGACCTTATGCAGTTGCAAGCGCCGTAAAATCTCTAGTAAAACTAAAAGAGTGTACCTAAGTAAAAAGGCACTTTGGACAAAATAGTTTTCAGGCGAAGGAGTTTTGGAACGATCTTGTGCCACAATCAATATCTGCCTAATTTACTACAGGTGGATATTCCATCTCAGAATGTACGGTCAATTATAGCGGGTGGTTGGAGGGCGCCACTGGTAGGTCCGACTACCTCTTTACTTTCCCTGTGTTGTTTCTGTCTGTCTGTCTTACTTACTTTTTCCCAGCCCTAAATGACCATTTTTGGGTCGATGCACTTCTCTTTACTCAAACAAAACAAATGATCAATTCATTTTTTTAAAGTGCCTCGTAAAAAAAATTTTAATTGGAGGTAAGTCTTTTTTCAGCAGTTGCTCCCTCCGTGGGGAATTCCCTCACACTGCGTTTTATGAGAAAGCGCCCGCCTTTGACCGCATTACAATCTGGTCCAAAAACACATTTATTCAAATCTCTTTATTCCCTTTTTCACTCACTTTATTCACACTTTATTCACTTTTCACTTTATATTCACACTTTTTCACTTTATCCACTTTCCACTTTATTCACACTTTATTCTCTTTTCACTTTATTCACTTTCCACTTTATTCTCTTTTCACTTTATTCACACTTTATTCTCTTTTCACTTTATTCACACTTTATTCACTTTTCACTTTATTCACACTTTATTCACTTTTTTCCTGTATTCCCAGGCTAAAGAACAAGACCTGGTCCTGCCAGCACACAAAGTGGAGACCGGGGATGAGTACGAGGGTGCCACGGTCATCGAGCCAGTCAAAGGGTAGGCAGACGTGCTAACTGTCCAGAATGTCCCACTTAGATGACCTTATTATGTTGCAAGTGCCGTAAAACTCTTACTAAAACTAAAATGTTTTCTCTTTACTTTACTTTGTTTCTTTCTGTCTTTGCCTCTCTGTGGCTTGTCCTATCAAACGTTTTTCGTTTGTCCTGTCAAACGTTTTTCGTTTGTCCTATCAAACGTTTATCGTTTTTCCTATCAAACGTTTATCGTTTGTCCTGTCAAACGTTTTTCGTTTGTCCTATCAAACGTTTATCGTTTTTCCTATCAAACGTTTATCGTTTGTCCTGTCAAACGTTTTTCGTTTGTCCTATCAAACGTTTAT